TTCTCTGATCATGGTTGAGGGTTGAATCAGTAATTTGTTGGTTGTTGGCACTACATTTGCAGTGGTGACGGGTGCTTGGTAGTGGTTGGAGCATTTAGAGCAGGCTTATTCTTTTTTTTATCATGTTTTCTTTTCCATTTGGGCTGTGGATGTGTGGTGATGGTGGTTGGGTAGGCGATGGTTGTAACGGAGATGAGTTTGAGGGTGATGTTGGTGTTCCCCGCCAAAGGCATGGTGGTGGCATTGTGGGTCAAGATCTGTGATGCCCCATCACGATTGAATTAATTTGTGAAGCTTTTGATTGAACAAATTGGGAGAATGATTATTTCTCAAATTTTCTATTTGATTGAATGGATCTACAATTAGAATCGTGTTTGATTCGGGTGGTTGTAGTATGTTTGGTGAAGGCTATGATGGTGTAGAGGTCATGTTTGGCCGATACTGAAAGTGAAGGTAGAGATGGTGGCAAAGTATCTTGGTTAGAAGGGCATTTTAGGACTTCTAAAAATTTCTTCCATTTTATTAGTTAATGTACTCCATTGAAAACTTGAAGGGGGTAACTTATTTAAATTAAAACCAGAGGGATCTAATTGCAATAACACCTAAACTTGAAGGGGACATTTTGTAATTAACATCGACATTATCCATGAAAAAGGTGAGGTGACATCTATGAGGGATAAATTAAGGGAGAATTGACTTAGGTAGTTTAGACACATCTATAGACGACCTACTTTGGCACAGGTGAAAACGAGTGATATGATAGTTATTGAAGGTAAGCGTACGCAGTGTTATTTAAGGAGTAAAGCGAACCGAAGCAACCAAGGCTCCTAACGCCTAAGCGAGAAGCAAAACGAAACGCTTTACCAAAGCAAAGTGAACAGTTAAAAAAAAAAAAATATTTTAGTTTAATTACTTCTAAACATCTAAGTTCAAATTTTATATATACTAAATATTTAAATGCAAGTAAACTATAAACATTTAAATTAAAAAAAAACATTAATTTAAATTAAAAAAAAATTCAACATTATATCACTATCACACTATAGTCAAAGGAACAAAACAGTATAGAAAATTAGCGTTCAGTATAATCAGCAAAAAATCAGTACATTAGCATTCAGCAAAATCAACACTACCAGCATTTAGCATTACAACACTATCAGCAAAATCAGCTATTCAGAATCAACAGCATTAAAATCAGCAGCTATTCAAAAATCAGCAGCATTAAAATCAAAATCATTAGCTGAAAATTAGTATCAAAATTAGAAAATCAGAATCATCAAAAAAATCATAAGCAAAAAAACGAGAAAAAAAAGAAGCAGAAAAAAGAAGCTGAAAGAAGAAGCAGGAAAAAAAAACAGAAAGAAGAAGCGGAAAAAAAAACAGCAGAAAACATAGTTATTAGTATCGTACGATACGTCACGATACACCTGAAAAATGATACGTATCGTGTCTCTGTATCGTTTTTACACGGTATCGTACGATACGATACGTGACGATTCTCTTTTTTTTTTATTTTATGTTTTTTTGGGGTTGAAATAACATTGTTTTACCGTAAGACTTATTTTTAAATCACTAGCTAGTGAAACAACGTCGTTTCACTGGTTATAGTTTAAAAAAATAAATAAAGTCTAATGTTAATGTTGGGCAATTAAATTCAAAATTTCTAATTAATATTAAAGTTGGTCAAGCAGTTGATGTTAGAAGTTTGAATTAAAGGTCTTTGCATTTTGATATTATTGAATTATATTGAAAATTTGAATAGTTTGTGGAATATTAATAAAATACTATGTTATTATGAGTCTATGATTTTTTTATAAAGGTATATACATATATTTTATTAATAATTATTTAAAAATAAAAATTGTGCGTATCTTACGATACACGATACGATACGATATACTATTTTTAAAAAACGATACGTCTTCCGATACAATTTGACAACTATGGCAAAAAGAAGCAGAAGAAAAAAAATAGAATCAGAGAGGAAGAAGAGAAAGAAGAAGCAGAAAAAAAAAACAGGAAGAAGGAGCAAAAAAAAAAAACAGAATCAGAGAGGAAGAAGAGATACATAAGAGAGAAGAAAAAGAAGAGACAACCCTAAACCAGCGAGAAAGGAGAAGCAGCAATAGTCTTGTCGCTGACTAGCACAGCAGTAGCGATCGCCTGACCAGAGGAAGGAGCAGCAGCGATGGTTTGATCGTGAAAATTAGGGTTTGAGTTTTATATTTATAGGATACGGGGGTAATTGGGTGTATTGACATCTTATAATTTTTTTTTTCAATTGCCCCAATCCAACGGTCCACAATAAAAATAAAACAATCTAACGGTCCATAATAAAAATAAAAGACTACTTCACTTCACATGACTAAGGCGTTTGCTTTTTCGCCTTTCGCTTAAGCGCAAGACGCTCGCTTTTCTTACTTTTTTCTTGCTTCAGTCATGTTTGCTTCGCCTGAGGTGTTCAAGGCGAGATACCTTCTCTTCGCCTCGCTTCTCGCCTAGACGAGTGCCTAGGCGAGCATTTCAAAACACTGAGCGTAGGGATAGGAGGAGGTCAAACTTAACTTCAAGTGAAATAGTAAAGAAAAATTTAATAACTTGTGGTCTATGAAGTATGAATACTTTTTCAAGGCCGACGTAGCCATATCAGATATGATAATCATCGGATATTCGAGGATACGTATCAGATACGCATCATATATATCTAATAATTAATAAAATATGTGGATATTTTGCAGGTACTTCTAAATATGGAGTAAGATGTACAATTTTTAGTTATAATTTATACCCTCTCTTTTCGAGTTCACATACCTAGGAAGTACGGATATGGGATACAGACACAGATACGCCGATACGAATTTTTAAAAAAAAGTAGGCCACGGACATGCTGGGGATATGTTAAATAATATATATATAATATCATGTGATAAAATAAAAATATTATCATAATAATCTTTTAATTCATCCTTTCCCTAATTCTAAAAATTCACATCATGATATCACTTTATAAAAAGTACAATATAAGATACACTGATACACATTCAACATTAACATCCATGATCCAACAATCAATGACTATTACAACTTTAATTCAAAAATATTCCACTTCGTAACACTAATTTTTATCAATTTCAAATAGCCCCAATTTTGTAACCCAATTTTTTCTCACATTACTTTCATATTAAAAGTTTATTTTATTTGTATATAAGTTCGTATTCGTATCTAAAATTATATTACATTCATGTCCTATGTTTAAAGTAATGATTATAACTTCTTTTATATTATGACTTTGATTCATCTATTTAAAATTACAAATATAATTTTTAATTATAAAGTTATCTAAAAAGTTCTCATAAAATTAAAAAGAAATCTCAAAACATGTCCCCAAATGTGTCGGTCGCATGTCTTGACCGTGTCCCTAATGTGACCTGAGCGTGTCGGCTGCATGTCCTCAATGTGTCGTTAAAAAAATTTAACAATAAAAAATTCTAATACTCATTTTAGAGTGTTCGATATGTGTTCGAAGCGTGTCTATGTTCCAGACGTGTCTGACACTGACACTCTGGCCAAATTGAAGTGTTCGTACTTCTTAGTCACATACAATTCAAAATATCAATCAAATTCCATTTGATTTTAAAGACACGAGTGTTTTTTTAAGTATTATTTACTATTACATGTTAAAAGAGTATATAAAATGAGTTAGTTACACTATAATCTTAAAAACAAATACTTATAAATAAACTAACCAGTTAAATGTGGTTCTGATTTCTTTAATTGGCCACACTCATTTTATAGACATAAAGAGATGATATTACATATTTTTTAAGGTAAAAATTCTTAATTTTACTTACAACTGTTAAAGAATTATTGAAAATAGTAATTTTTAAGTCGTTAAATAATAGTAAAATATAAAATATATTTTATTATAGACATATCCTTTGGCCATACCCGTATCTTGTTTTTTTATTTTTTGTCATATTGCCGTATCCGTATCTATATTGTATCGTACTCATATCACGTATCCGTATCCGTGATTCCTAGCTTATGGTTTAATAGAAAGCATGGACCTTGATAGAGCACAATGGAGAAAGAGGATTCATGTAGCTGACCCAAAAAATGTTGGGACAAGGCTTTATTGAGTTAACTTCGCAAGCTAGAAAGAGTCAATATCTGTTCTTTTGCTCGAGTTCTTTGATATTTCAGCAAATTAATAAAATTTATGACTCTTTTGTTGAAACATATTTGACAGAAATTGCTGGCAAAGATTGCAATTATTTTTATGATATTGAAAATTTAAATTTCAAGGAATGTGGGCCAAAATGCAGATTTACAAACAGTTGAAATTTCTTTTCGATTCAGTCAGTTATGGTTGGACAAAATCATAACTATCATTAGCCTAAATAGCTTGGTTTAGACTAGTGAGTTGTTGCAATTCGGAGAGCGCGCAAAGAGAAGACCTCTGGTTATCCTTTCAAAGTTATGTGGCAGTTTCTGCCTGGTCATTTTATCTTTTCTACTAGATGGTTCCATCATACTTGCAGATGTCCCTTTATTTTTTATCTTATAGTTGTTATACTTTGTCCTGGCTAACAAACTGTTGCATTATGTAACACATTCCCATCTGCTTTCTGTTGTTGAATCAAGTGTGTGGTAAGTTTTTTCTCCATATCTGGAAACCTTTATCTTGGATTTTTTTGATACAGAAAAAGAATTAAATATATCTTCTCAATCTTTTCCTCTCAAAGTGGTGCAATTTTAATTTTTTTGGCTAGTGGTTGTTCCCCTTGATTGAGTTTTGAAATTGTTTCATTCTTTACATTCATACCCAGATTGTTTTTGTGTGTTGTGTTTCTCTTTCTCTCTCTCTGCTTTCAGCAACTTTCTTGAGAGTTGCTTTCTTCCTTTACAGGAGTTTGCGACAGCCTACAGCTTATAATTTTTATTCTGTATGACACCAATTAACAGCCTTTTCTGATATGTTGGATGGGAAAAGTCAAGAGATGTCAACCAAAGAGTTGTCCGGTGGAGCAAGGATTCACTACATTTTTCAGTCAATTTTTGTGAAGAGCTTGGAGGTGTGGACTTCATTTTCAGTACTTGATGCAAGTACTTCAATTACTGCTAATCTTTCATGGCAATTTTGTCTCTATCAAAGAGTTAAACTGAAGCTTTGCTCACTTGACTCCCTTATTCTGCTCGGCACTGTCATCATGTTCACTTGACTCCCTCTCTTCTTTTGCTCGAGACTGTCATCTGGGTTGATCTATTCATATCTATTCTGAAAGATTTTAATAATGACGATACAAGTCATCTGCTGCATCGACTATTAACTGCTCAAATGTGTATTTAGGGAGTGGATCCTTGCGAAGATCTAACTAACGAGGATATTAGGACGGCAATTCAAAATGCAACTGGTACCAAAAATGCTTTATTTGTGCCCGAGGTGTGTCATGATTGTATATACAGGTTTTAGTTTTACATAGTTAATGCTCATCCTTATGTTTCAATGGCGTTTCAGAATTTGTTGTCTCATGATGAATATTTTAGGTCCCATTTGAAGTTTTGGTTAGAAGACAAATTGGTCGGTTGTTAGATCCTAGCCTCCAGTGTTTACGATATGTCTATGATGAACTAATACAGGTAAAGACAACCACATTGTCCTCTTCCCCCTCCTCCTCCTCTCTCTCTATGCAGGAGATCAGACTTATTGGGCTGTTAAAATTTCTGTGCAGATGAGCCGTGCTTGTGAAGCATTCGAGATACGAAGGTTTCCTTTGTTGAGAAGGCGTCTGGATGAAGTGATGGGAAAGTTTCTGCGTGATGGAGTGAAACCTGCTGAAAGCATGATTTGCAACATTATTGAGATGGAGGTTATCCAATCACTTGATTCACTTTCCTAGCATTGTGTTTGTTTTACAAGAAGTATTTTCCATGTTTATGCAAAATGGCTGCATATACACTCTTCTATCTACGCTGCGGGTGCTAGTTTTTGGCACTTCAAGGTTACAAATCACTTGAAATGAATTCTTTTTGGGTTTCTGGGACTTTAACTGCCCTTTCGGCTGTCACTTGCTACTGTTTTAAAAGAAAATGATTGATCTCATAAAACCAGCTTCCCTTACAAAATGCCTCAAGTTCTGTCAATTTCAATTATTATATCCTGCTTCTGTATTGTGTGCCTGCTATGCCTGATGCACAACTTTTTATATTTATCTCCTCAAAAGTAGATCCGTTGATTGCATTTAACATGTGCTTGAAACTATTAAACCATATAAGATCCTTAACTTATATTCTAGAAATCCATGATATTTATAGAAGTGCTAGTTTTCTTTTGAATTTCAGATGGATTATATTAATTCTTCGCATCCAAATTTTATTGGTGGGAAGAAAGCTGTGGAGCTTGCGATGCAACACGTGAGATCTTCAGAGGTATCAGCTAACCACTTTTCTGTAACCAAATTCAAGGTTTTGAACCAATAGCTCCTGTATTTTTTTTCCTCCACATTTTGGACACCATGAATTTGGAGATTGTGTTGATAAAACCTTCGAGTATTTGGCATGTGATTCAGGATAGTAATGATGTTTAAAAGGTGCCCATGTCAGAGGTGGGCCAGAAATCTTGAGCTGTCGTAGCTAAGTCAGTCATGAATGGTGTTTTGCCTAACCAGTTATTTTTCGTTACTTTTTTTTTTTCAATTCCTTTTTTTCCTGAACAACAGAAAATGTTGTGAATGATCATAATATGTCAAAAAAAGAAGATTAAGTTCTTATTAAAGAAAGACAAAGAATCATAAAAGGATTAGAAATACGTACAAAAAGAAAGCATGGACAAATCCTAGGGGGAAAGAAAGGAAAATAAGATCTTTAGGAAGAGTAAAACTAATGAGGGTATGAATGATTTGTTGAAAACTCTAAGGATTGGTCCCTCTCTTGATCGAAGATCATCTTTGAGATAATATATACATGTAGTTGGAGGAAACCATTCTTTCATGGATCTCTGATGTATCAAGCGAAATGCACATTATTCCCTTGGCATTGTAAACTATTGTTATTTTATTTGACAATAAATGACTCCTGTCAGCAAGATATTTGGTATTTCACTATGGGTGGCCTCTCCATGCTCACATAAAACCCATAAACCTGGAATTGTCTCTGTAAAATTTCTTGGGCCGAGAACAGTGTGAGATTGGGAAGGGGTAAAGTTCATCGATTCAGGGCTCTAAATTGATGCGTGCCAAGCTTCGGCTACACAAAGCTCATTCTGAAACTTGGCCCAACTAATATCCCATTAAACCAACTGTGCGTCACATCCATATTTCATTTCTCTAGTTTGACCATCTAATGTATCATTTAGTGTCGTGTGGCTGGTTAGGGTTTTGAGGTATGTTCATAAGCTCATGGGTTCAAGCTTCTGTTAAGAATAGTAATATTGTGGTGCCTCATTGTTAGATTTTCAGAAATATTTGAATAATATGAATTATAAAACAATAAATACGTGGACCAGAAATTGGTTGAGCTTCAGCTTGAGCTCTATGGGTGCATTCTTTCCTCCATAATGTCAAGCTTTTGTACATCTTGCATTGTGTAGGAAGTAGTGTAGTTATGGTTGGTGTCTCTAAAGCTGTCGTAATTGTAGCGTGAAAACATATTTGACTTGACCTAATACTGGATGTTATGTAGTTCAGGCTCTTTCCTGGAAAATAAGATGTTTGTATCTTTACATTTGACCCCAAAATTGGGCTGCTTATTTTGATCATTTACTTTCCAATTATTCTTTCATTTACTTCATGCATGTATGTGGCAGGCAGGTCGGACTCAGTCGAACAATGATAAACCGGCGTCAGCAGGTATGCTCGTTCTTTATAGTGGTGGCAATGGAACAAGGCATCCAACTATACACTCCTCCCCTTCTCTCTTCCGTTCGTTCATCTTACATGTTTATCACTGGTGCATGGTTGGCATGGATCAAAAGATCATCATATATGACTATGCTTTAAATAATATATTTGCTATTTTTAAGGATATGACTCATTTATTTAGTTTTCATGTGTATGTGTGTGATGTAGGGCACCTTTTTTGCCAGAAAAAAATGATCCTCTTGATTAGATAATACATTGGGAAAAGGGAAAAATATGGATGGTTTGAAGATAATTAGAAGAAAATGAATGACAGAAAGGGAGATAAGTTGAGTCGTGTCTCACTAGAGCTATAAGAGTCACATTTCTTAATATAGTTTAAAGAAAGGCATAGGCATCACATCTGGGTTTCTATGCATCACATGAAGAGGAGGTTGGACACACTAGTAAATTGGATCAACAGTCTGTTTCATTCACTGCTCCAGCAACGGATCAATTCGACACTAAACATATCGGAGACTATAGTTTGCAAACAAAGAGAACTATGTGAATAATCGTGCTGGCCAAGAATTCTTAGATGTTAATACAAGACCTATCAAACATGGCTCAAATAAAATAATTAGGCCTATAATTGAAGTGTGCAGCCCCCTAGGAACCCAATATACTGATTTAATATGATGCAAATAGGAGCAAGAAATTGAGCAAATATATACTGATCTAATAGGAGTGATAAGTTCGGATCAAGAAATTGTTACCGTCCCACAAATAATGGCTGTTATGTCATTGTTAGAAGATCAGATCAAGATCTTCTTCAGAATTAATGAATGCTTGATTCTCGGCACTGTCAGATCTGAACTGAGGAACAC